TGAGCATAATCCGGGCCGTTCCAATGGTCATTGCACATTGTTCCAAATCTATCTATTGCACAAGTTCTCTAAAGGCTTGATCACAAAGCCACCTTTTCATACTCTTGCAGAAGTTCAGAAAGGAGGGGGCTGATCTAACATCACTGGGGAGGGAGTTCCACAGCCAAGGGACCACCACTGAGAGAACCCTGTCTCTCGTCTCCACCAATCGCCCCTACAAGGCAGGTGGGAATGAGAGCAGGGCCTCCTCAGATGATCCTAAACTCTGCAGTGGTTCATAGAGATACATTCAGTCATATATGCTGGGCCAAAACCATTTAGAGCTTTACAGGCTAAAGCGAGCACTTTGAATTGTGCTCGGTAGCAGATTGGCAGCCAGTGGAGCTGACGTAACATGGGTGTTGTATGCTCCCTTTACGCCGCTCTGCTGAGCAACCTGGCTGCCACCCATTGGACCATTTGTAGCTTCCAAACAGTCTTCAAAGGCAGCCCCACTTAAAACATGTTGTAGTAGTCTATTTAAGATGTAACCAGAGCATGGAGTACCGTAGCCAAGTCTGACTTTCCAAGGTACAGGTGCAACTGGTGCACAAGTTTTAATTGTGCAAATGCTTCCCTCGGTGCCACTGAAACCCGGGGCTTCATGCTCAGTGATGAATCCAGAAGAACTCCCAAGCAATGAACATTTGTCTTCAGGGGGAGTATAACCCTGTCCATCACAGGCTGTAACTCTATATCCTGTTTGGCCTTATGACTGACTAGGACCACCTCTGTCTCATCTGGATTTAATTTCAATTTCAGTTTGTTAGTAGCAGGTGGAAAGGAGTGATAGAGTTGGATGTCATCTGTGTACAGGTGACATCAAACTCCAAAACTCTGGATGATCCCTTCCAACAGCTTCATGTAGATGTTAAACAACATGGGGGACAATATTGAGCCCTGTGAGACCCCATAGGACAATGGCTGAGCAGGTGTCCCCCAACAACATCTTCTGGGAACCACCCTCCAGGAAGGACCGATCCACTGTAAAACAGTACCTCCAAAACCCATTCCCATGAGGCATCCCAGAAGGATACCGTGGTCTACGATATCAAAGGTTGCATGATCATCGATAGAGGCAACATACAAGGATAAGCATGCTCAGTATCAGGCATGTCTGTATTTGCACAACCATGCCAATTTGATGATTCAAAGTTCCAGTGGTTGTACTTCCATATAACCTCAAACTTCACCTTTTTACACTTCCACTACTCCATATTTTTAAAAAAGCATTTTCACAATTCCAGCTAAGGTTCCACCCCTCTTCAAAAAAATAAATAAAAATAAAATCAAGTATTTCTTGGAAATAGAACGGTCCTATCACTAAGTAGGTGATAGGAACATGCTATGATCTATAATTATTGATGGGTCAATAACAGAGGACAAGATGTCCACAGGATGGGTGTGACATTGTGTAAGAGATGGTCCAAAGATGATGGTCCTGCCTCAATGCTGGTTTGTCTCCTCGTGATGAAGTCCAGTGTTATCCACTATACAAGGGATATAACTAGCTTTGGGAATACGGGGCTGGCTGCATGACACACGCAGCTCATTGTACCCCAAGACTTTACCACATTTTCTTTCTCATGAGCATCTGAAGTTTTAGGCATCTTTTTCACTCTACCTAGGCCTGTCTTGGCCTATCTGTCTGATCACAGCTTCAGAATATTCTGTATGCAGGCAGCATTTATGCCATGGATTCTACTTTTGCTTAGGGAGAGAAAGAGAATCTGTCAGTGGGGCACTGAATTCAGCTTTCTACAAATCTCAGCATTCAGTTAAAGAAAAGGTTAGGTTTTAGCCTTTATGCCTGCTCTACAAATATATGCTTGAAAACTGGTCTTATGTTTAATGGAGAGTTCTTACTGTTTGAATGTATGGGTTGAGAGAGCCTGCTGAATTTGCAGAAGTCTCAGAGGAGCTGCTCAATGAGATAAGAGGGGGAACTTTTATTACTTGCATAGGTGCTTATGTCTTCCCATGATTATTAAAGCTATAATAAATTATGCAAAAGGTAAGTATTACCCTATAAATAATAATTTATGAAATTTATACAGGGCATAGAATTAATGTTTTCTTATTCAGATTTTGTATTAAAGGTAACACACACATCTTTGAAAACTAAAGCTGTCCAATACCAGCCTATGGGGATATCTCAGCCTTTTCTTCAAGAATTCAGTAAATGGTGGATTCCTAGGCAAAATGCATACTCTCTTTGCTTACTTTGGCCAATCTATGAGTAACCGAAACTTACAAAGTGTTGCGTACTAGTAAAAAATGAAGCAAGTATGTATTGATATACACAAGGGAACACATACATTTATGTATAATCCATGCAGTTCAGCATTTGAGTCACTTTGATTTGGCATTGAAAAGAGACTTAAGGGCTGTTGATGTAAGTTGATATAAGTTGGACCATTGTACCACTGCAACTCACTTTTTTGGTCATTGTAGAGGCTTCTGTTCTCAACCAAGGACACAACTTTCAACATCCATACTGCAACCCACCTTTTGTCACCTGCAGAACAGGGGGAGCAACAGACAAACATTCAACTGTTTTCCTATAGCTATATATAGCAATGACATTATCTATACACCTCTGAAGGACACCATGTAAATATCTGTCAATGTGCCATCCAGCTAATAGGAAAGCAGGTGAATGCTTATTTGCTACTTCCCCTATTCTATATCAACCAGTAAATGCTTTGGTTTGGAGATCTGTTACACAGAAATTGATTTTGGGATAATGGTTATATGGGAGTCTATTGTAGCTAGTCTTGCTACTACTCCTGATGTAGGATTATGACCAAAAGGTTGATTTTGAACTTGATTATAATGTCTTAATAATTGTTAAAACATTTAAAGTTTGAAGCATGTATATTTCTTGCAGTTTCAGAAATGTTATGAATCCATAGTCCTCTGATTTACCAAACCTAATGAACCATTTTGTGGTTATTTCCATAAAGAACTAGATGATATAGTCATCCTAACTGCATTTTATGAGTTTAAGAATCCCTAATTAAGACTCAATAGTCATTTACCATGCTTTGGGGCTGTGTTTAAGGAAGAAGTAGAGGTTTGCTGTTATGCTGTCTATCTTTTTTATGTATCTCTTCAACACTTAATGGGACATATTGCAGGCATAAAAATACTGTGCAAAGTGATATTGAAACTGATTGCTAGTTTTATTTAACACAGAAAAGCCACTTAGTTTTTATTAGAATCAGCTCTCCATCAATAACTTGCTAGTTAGCATTCATTTGGAGAAGGATCCCTGGTTTACTCAATCAAATTCTATTTGCTTTTGATTCTATGCAGTATCTGTTTTTAAATAATGATTTGGCTTTTAAGTATAGGAAATTCATGAAAGGAGAGTTTCTCATCTACTCAATAGCATCTGTGTTCAGACATAGGCCAGATTAGTCTCCTGTAAATATGGAACACAATTAGGGGAATACATGGGAGAAGTCGTAGAATACTTACTGATAGGAGCAAAATGGGACAATTTCCTTCAAAGTAAATAAAGTGAACATACGAGGGTGGGTCAAAAGGTAATGCCTCCATTGCTCTAACTTTTATTTCCTTCACAGCTACTGGACTATCTATGCATGATATGATAGAGGTAACCTTACTCTATTGATATAGTCTTTTCTTTTTCCAATCGACTGATTAGAACCATGAATCTGAAGCTAAAAGAAAGAGTCATTATTGACTCTTACATTCTGACAAAAGAAGGTTGTGCACCTAAGAAAATCCATAATCACTTGAAGAATGCTTATGGGGACGCTGTAATGGACATCAGCAATGTGCGACCTCTGAAAGACAACCTACATGGTTTCAGGTTCAATGACCTGAATGATGTTAAAACACGAAGCAAAACCCTGAATTTTTCCAAAATGGTTTTGATGCCTGGGTTAAACGACGGTGCAGATGTGTACAAATTGATGGTGACTATGTTGAACAGTCAGTTTTGGAGAGGATAGTTCAGGCTATGATCTGTAGCAACTTCTGCTATTATATGTTCATTCATAATGTTTTTTATGACACAGGAGGCTAATCTTTTTGACCTATCCTCACAGAATCAGAATATAAAAGCCAAGACTTGCACATTTTAAGTCAGTGAAGATAATCTCAATGCTTCAGAAACAGGAGTTCTTTTTTTAATGTTTCACTCTTCACAATACTAAAAAACCCCTGATAATTAAAGGAAACTCTCATAAGGGGGCACAGTTCTTATCGTGCGGGGTGATTTCCCTTATTTTCCTCCCTCCCATAGAAGGATTCTTGAGGAAAATATGTGAAACTTGCTTAGCATGGATTTACTTAATTTAATATTTAATCTCTGTCAGATTTCCAATTCTCCCTTCTTGCAGGAGATCCTTGTTTCCAACTCATATAGTTTAGCAGACCCTTAGCATTCGTTAGGGGGTTTGGAGCCTCTGAGGGGGTACAGAAGGAAGGAAAGGAAGAGTTGACACATAGTCCAAGCCAATATAAAGAGCCAGAACAAAAAAAATGTTTAGGTTTTCTTGCTGACTCTGCTTGATAACTTGAAACTCTGCACCAAAGCATGAAATAAATTCTTGCCTACACAAATGGAAAATGCAGTTTCTTGCAATAGAAAATGAAACATCCCATGAACACTAATTATAAATCTTCATCCTTACAAAATATGTACAAAATATGCAAGACCTGGTTTCTGTACTCAAATTCTCTTGGTTTACATTTGATGAAAATTTTCCCATTAGTATAAAATCTTAAATGATGTGTGTGCATTCAGTTACATTTTCTTTACTGAAGATAATCCATGTTCATGGTCTTTGCATAGTGTTGTAGTTGACACTACCCTCTTCTAGGAGTTCTTCTTGGTCAAGGTATATAACAATAATCTTGGGATAATATGTGATGGATTCTTAAACTTATACAGTCCTTTACCCTGGGTTTTCTTTCTTCTTATGTAGATAATGCTGTTAAGCGATCCTGAAGTTGAAAGCAGCATATTGATTAGTAATGATGAAGGTGCCACCTACCAAAAATATCGACTCAGCTTCTACATCCAAAGTCTCCTCTTCCACCCTAAACAAGAAGACTGGATTCTAGCATATAGTATCGACCAAAAGGTACACTGCTATCTATCTGTCTGTCTGTCCCTTTCTTATCTGCCTATCATATTTGCTTTTTGTCTTTCTCTCATCTAGGTATGCCAATTTCCGATGTAACATTAAAACTAACTGTTGTGACCTTTAGGTGCATACACAACCTCTCTGAGCACACCTGAAACAAAATTCCCCATTGTTTGGGGCATCCATATATACATATTTGTGTTATCCTAGTTTACTGTGAACAAGCAATTCCTCTACTTCAATTTTTCCGTGGTACAAGTGGGTAAAACTCACCAGCAAATTTCTTGATATCTGTACTTGAAATTCCAATTTGTTGTTTCCAAAACAATGTAAGGTTCAAAAACTCTGTCTAGTGAATAAAGTTTTGCCAAGGTGAAAATAAAATGAATAAAAACCAACTGTGGCAGTGGTACACACAGAGAAAATTTATGTTACATGGATCAACTGTAGAAGGAACTCAACAGATTGCTGCAAAGGGGAAAGAAGGCTTCTTTCAGTGTTACCATATTCACATGCATCAGGTACATCCAGCTTTGAAATACATGACTAATTCCCTATGGAGAATCCTCATCTGCAACATCTTTTGACTTTATAACATCCCCATCACACATATATTTCCCATTTTGTCAGATGACTTTTAATCTATGCAACTTAAAATGTTCAGCAAGCCAAGAGGGAGAATCAGGGTCTACTGAAGCAAACAATACAGGAAACTCATAACCACCAACCCCAATTCCTGCCCCAGTGGTATCTCTTGAACAAATTGAATCTCTTCCATCATATTCAATCTGGACAGCTGTCATCACTGTGTCTACTACTGTTAATTCCATCTGGTATATGTTGGAACAGAGTGCCTAAAGTAATATTTCTTTGTAAAGTGGACATCACTGGTTTTTATTAAGACAGAAATTACACACAGAAATCTTTTGCTGGATGTGAGGACCATTGCAAGATGTAGTTCTGAAACTATGATAAGAACAAAACAAATGCTTCATTAAATTTGCCTGGCAATTTACAGTGTAACCCCACAAAATAATGATCTGTATGTCTTCTGTTGCCGTTCATCTTCAGACAGACTAAGTGAGTAGTAAATATGTTGTATGTCAAGTTTTAGAGGTGAACTCTGGCCCGTGCAAACTCCAGAGGGAGGAGGGGGAAAGGAAACACGATGGCTCTCTCTCTCTCTCTCTCTCTCTCTGTGTGTGTTCTTGGTGCACGCAGAGCTTTGCTCTCCTGCTTTGGAGACTTATCTCCAACCCAGCCTTGTTTCCAGATGGAGGGAGGGAAAGGGCTCATGGCTGGAAGGAAGGAAAGGGGAGAGAGAAGCCTTGTTGCCTTTGTGGGCAGAGGATCCCCCTTTATTTCTGCACACACACACACACACACACACACACACACTTTGCTTCAAATCCTCTCTGTCTCTCTCTTCTCCCTTCCTTTTCCTCCCCCACGTGCTCTCTCTTCTTCTTCTTCCTTCTCTTTGGTTTTCCAGTGTTGCCATTCCTCTATGCTCAATATGGGATTCTAAAGACAGTTAATCTACAGTATATGAGTGTGTTCCCAACTCTGGTCTTCCAGATGTTTTGGATTTCAAACATGATGTTTCACTGCTTAATTGGTAAAATCATAGCATAATAGGCTTTTCCTTCATCCCTCCTTATTATCCAACATTCTGCCGGCCTATTTATGTTGGATAAGTGAGACTCTGCTGTACTTCTTAGCTGGTGATAATGTAGCATCCTCTCTCTTCATGGACATCTGATAGAAACTCAAGATGGGGAAAGGAGAGAGGCAGGTGATGGCAGCAACTGCTTTTTTCTGCTTCATATGCCGTGTCTTGAGTTCCTGACCACTTCCACGGGATACTATTACAATATGAAAATTCAGTGTGAGATTAATGATTCCTGGGCTTTCAAGGGAACTGATTCAGAAGCCTTTTCACATGAAGGATTGCAGTGTTAGATATATCCCTTGATAATGTTCTCATTATCTGTATTGCTATCTTTGATGTGTCCGTTTTTCTGTGCAGCAAATGAGGGCTATGCATGGAAACAGGAACATGAGTAGAAGACCTCTTTATGTTTCATTGCACATTACTCTACGTGCAATTGCTCTTTGGGTCTCTGTGTGCATACCGAAGCACTCACAAGGAATAGGAGGAATGTTTGGTTCAGCAAGTACATTTATGAAGGGCACTGTCCTTCATTAGTGGTCAATTGAACAATGTGTGTCAGTCTCCTGTGCTACAATATACCATAGTACCCAATTCTTTCTGCTGCCTGACCTAAGTAATTTAACATACTTCAAAATATATTAAAGTGTTCTGTTATCTACTACCATTGTAACCATAGATAATAACCTTAATATAGTCTTCACCTTGTTAACAGAAGGCTTCGGGTGCATATTGCTATTTCACTGATGATGCCATGGTGACATTTGCAGGTGCTGTGCCACTGTAAATGGGAAGCTCTTTTTTGTGCCAGGTAGTTTCAGTATGAAAGGACATCGTCAAATGCCAATTCTTTTGCAAGCTTAGATGTGCAGTCTAGGAGCTCTGCACTGCAGGTTAAAAGATCCAGTATATCCATTTAATGTCAATAAGTGGTTTATACAGCTTTTAAACTGGGAAGAAAGTTCTTACTATATCTGTAATTTCATTACAAACACCTTAATAAACTGACAAACAATGAATTGGAAGGCGTGTTTGGTGATAATCCATGATAGGATGGTTTTGTGTGCCATAATATACTTATCCACAGGGGATACATCCCAAGACTCTCTTGAGGATACCTGAGATCGTAGCTAACCCTATATTTTGTCTATGCTTGGACCAGAAACATACCGTAAAATTACACTGGATGACCTAGACAGGTCCACAAACACCTCTGGGGTGGATTTTTTTTTTTGAGCACAGACAAGTGAAGCTCTGGATATCAAATCCATGGATAAGAGGTTTATTTATTTATTTTTTACTCTTGAATGGCACTGACCGTGTTTTGCTTTTGTACAATGAAAGCTGAGATGTTTTTGTGGTATAAGAGTCCATATTATTTTGCCATCACTAATTAAAATGTATAGAACTTTGAATATGATAATTAGAATGCACATAGTAATGTATAGATAAGAAGCCAGAAAAGTCTAATAAATAGTTATCACCAAAGCACCTGCCACAATGTTGCTAATCAAAGAAGTTCTAAAATGAACGAGCTTGGCAATCAAAGTTCTCATCTTCCATTAAGCATATTCATCATCAAGATTCTTCATTAATCTTCATAAAAAAATCACCTATGAGTTGCTGAATTAGATGTTTGAGATAATATGGCAGTGTGCCATTTCAACACACCTGGTAGTCAATCTCCATCCCAGCAAGGTCTTTCCAGTAATCACAGCACCATAATTTGAAAGTCTAATTCCATGATGTAGTTGTCATGGTTTGCTAGACTGTATAATATTTGCAGCAAAATGGGTTGTATGTGCAAAGAAAAATTAAGAAAAGTCTTCATAACATTGCAATTTTATTTTTTCACAAAAATCTGTCTATTTTCACAATGAATGAAGACATGAGCCTTAATTTGTGGAATTGCTTGCCTCTCTGGACCAGTGGTAATAGTGATAATTCTGTGTTAAATTGTTTCAAAAGAGAGATGATTATGTAGGTGCTGAGATGGCTTCCTTTCCCCTCTTCTATCACCATCACCTTCTTCTTTTCCTCTTGCAAAATCTCTTTAAACATGTTTAACACAGAGTATGATGTTGAGCTATTTCATTCCCAAAACAGGAAATACCTTTTCTTATTCTAAATCAATAGCTGGAATCCTGAATTAGTTAATCCCAATTAGTGTAGTTCCATTGACTCAATTTTGGAATGGCAAGCCAGCAGGTAGGTTTAGTTTCATTGGGTCAATGTTTCTACTTCACCTGGGATTTAAAATATGATTTAGGTCAACATTAGTTAAATTGGATCCTGTCACGCCACTAATATATGACGTGGTCTGATATTTTCCTGAGTTGCCTCTTGAATCTCATGACCTTCTTAGTGCTAAAATATATTTATAGAAAATATTTATTTATAGAAACATGTACTTCTCCATTACTAGAGTTGGTGCTTGAACAAGTGAAGTGAGTGGAGTAGGTGATTGGAAGTGGTGGGAGGCAAAGGAAGTTGAAAAGAAGTGGGTAACTGATAGGAACTGTATTCTTTTTCTTTAACAAATTTTTATTTTTACAATACAAAAAAATACATACCGTGCACACACAAAACATTTACAATTCCCACCACCAATGAGGATTATTTTCTTTCACATATTCATTTCTTTTTGAGACAATCATTATATCTTTATCTTTATACATTTCCATCCTGTATGCTGTATAACATTTGTATGTTATTTCTTATGGCTTGATCTCCGGAATGATTCATAATATAGTTCTTTACCCTTGTCCATCTATCTTCCATTTCTCCCATTCTATTTTCATTGATTTTTAAATCATTTAATTTCACATTCATAATTTCAAATTCCATTTGCTCCACCATATATTGGTACCATTTATTTATTGTCCATTTTGATTTATCTTTCCACCCTAATACTATTACTGCTTGTGCACATTCTATTATTGCTTCTTTTATTTCCCTTTTATTTCCTGTTTCCTCTCTTTTCTCTAATTCCACTGTTTCCTTTGTTATGACCCACTCATTTCCTAATATTTGATTTGACTCATTTTGTATAGTCTGCCAAAAATCTTGTACATATTCACATTCCCACATCATGTGCATAAAGTGCTCTTTCTTGTGGCATCCATGCCAGCACTGACTACTCCCCTTTTTATAGTAGTATGCTATTTGGCAGGGCGTACGATACATTTGTGCAATAATTTCCTCCTCATTTCTCATAATTTGGTATTCCTTTCCATCCCTATTGTCTCTACCACATTTCTCATTTCTTGTTCCGAGATTTTTAACTCTGTTTCCCACATAGTTTTCAAGTCCTGTATTATACATC